TTACTTTCTTTTTAAGCATTTTTGATGATTTTTCTTGGATTATCTTTTGTGCTGAACTTTAACAGTAGTGTTTAGTTTTCACGGTCTTAAGATAATGAAATAAGTTATCTAGTGGCCTTTCTCTGTTCAAACTGCTGTAGACATTTAATGGACCCTTTTCTGTATAGATTAGGAAATTATCTTACAGAAATGGTCAACAAATGTGTTTTACTAAATTATATTATTAGTTAAATGTGCTTATTCTTTTTTCCTAATGTTTTTAAGTAAATTTACACAAGATCTGATATTTAAATCTCCTTTTTATTTCAGGAGACATAGTAGGTTTTTCTGATTTCAATTGTTTGCAAAGGAAGGAGACTGTTCAAATTTCTGAAAAATTAGGCATCCTCTTTCCTCAGTCCAACTCCAAACCAGTGGGTTTTTAATGACTGTGGAGAATGGGAAACTTAATAGTGTGTGGGTTTTGGCAAATGTTTGACTTCACTGGTGTTCAGTTCATGTAGTTAAAAAATTTATTTATTTATTGATCATAGGCTACAAAATGTAAATAACTAGTTTACACAGAAAAAAATATATAATACTGTGGCAGATGATTTTCAAAGTGCATTTTCCTCTTTTGCTTTAATATTTTCTCCCTGTTTATAGTTCAAGATTATAGAATTTGCGAAATAATCATCAATATTGATTTTTGAGGGGGCCCTGTAGAAGTAACAATTTCTTGGAACTTAAAAAGCTCTTGTGAAATAGGAATTAGTATAAATGCTCTAAGGCAGAAGTCATGTAATCAAGTTGGCTGTTTTTTTCAGTAGAGACAGGTAATTTTTTAACCTTTCACTTTTTCTGGAACTTGTTGCAATATTTGTAGGAAAAATATATAAATGCAGATATATAAATGCCAGAGTAATTCCTGGAAGTGAAAAGGAACATAATCATTAAAGCATTTTTGCTTTTAGTGTATATTTATATTGTTAATGGCTTTCTTGAACTGTACTCATACATGGTGAAGAGGTAGTCCCTACTTCAGAATTAATAGGCAGAACACTGAAGTACTGCATATTGAAATAAAAATCAGAAGAAATCACCTGGCGACAGGGAGGCTGGATTAAAATGATCTCCAAGGTCCCTTCCAGCCTAGGCCATTCTATGATTCTATGATTTTTTTTTTTTGTATTGCATGCTATAGGTGACACTTGATGCCGTTGAACTTTGTAGTCTGCTGTTTGTGTGTGCATTTATGTGGGGAGGGGAGGTTAAAATAAAATGGAATGGCAGTCCTTTTGTCTCTGTTCAGGTTTCAACTATCTTCACAGAGTTTGTCTTGAAGATTTGGGTTCCCATATTGCCCTTTCTGCTAAACTAGTTTCATGTGCATCTTGCTGTATTATCCCCTGTGGGATTTCCCAGCTGCGCTGCTGTGCCCTGCAAGGTAGCTACTCTCTTGCTCCAGGAAACTTTCGCTTTAATCTCCTTGGTATTCCTTAGTAACATAAAGGAATGATGAGTCCAGACATCCACTTCTGAAAAATTCCAGGTATTACACTGGATTATGTCAGTCTGAGTTGAAAAATTTAAGTGATACTTCCTAAATGAGGAGTAATTAGTACAGAATTATCATAGATAATAGATGACAATAGATGACAGTAGGCATGTGCTGTGAGAACTGCTGTACTTCTTGAGGGGAGCTATGGAAGATGACTTAGAATGTGCTCTGCTGATCCTCTTTTTTAAAAAAAAAAAAAAAGTCCCCTGAGTCTTCCCTTGATTATGTTATTTTTTGTGATACAGGGAAATAAGAGGGCTTTGTTTTTACACAGGCTGAATACAGATCTCTCATCAGTTCTGTGGAAACCTATGGTATTCTTTTGGATCAAACCATCTTTATAAATTGTTTTTCCATTAAAATTTCTAAGAAACAATTTAAGTAATGTGGACAGAATTAATTTTTAAAGAAGTTCTGCTTCAGCAGGTTGCAATTCTAACTGAACAAATGAATTTACATATCAATTTAGAATTTGAACTGTCCGTGTGTAAAAATGATTCCCCCAAGACACATGAATACATACATACATAACAAAAAAACCCACAGAACAAATCAAAAAACCTCCAGAATGAGCCAGTTGCATCTACCACAATAACATTTCCGAAGCATTCAGCTTTTTATAGTGATGCGCTAAGCTTCACAAAACTAGAAACCCTTGCCCAGCAAAACAGAGCTCAGTTCATTGCTGTGTGCAAGTTTCAGAGAAATGCCAATTGTATTTGCATTTACAATCTTTTTCCTTAAAGAAGTCCAGATATCAAGTGAGTTGGCAGATGAGGCTGGATTGTTTTATAGTGCTTTAAAACCAAAATCCCCATCAACTTCTTAAACTGTTATTCAGAAAGGTGGCCAGTAGAGAGGTCCTACAGACTTTCAGCTTCCTTGGCAAATAAAGCTTGTAAGATGATACTACTCAAATTTTTTATTGAAGTGGAGAATAGGATCAGAAATTATGATAAAAAAATAAACTTGGATCATGCATTTTCAGGGAAATGAGACAATAATAGAGACTAATTCTAGAAAGGTGTTCACAGTTGATGCATGCACAAATAATCTGGACAGGTATGCACTGGAATAAGGGTTAATGATAATAACTAGCTGAACACATAATTGACTGCATGTATGTGCAGTACATGCTGAAATAATCTCTCTGCTGCTAAAGTGCTGTACCATAATTTCAGAATTATGCATGAAGTTATTCCTTGGCTTCAGTTGTGAAGTGCTCTACCAAGCACTTAACTACAGGCTTAAATGAGACCGGTTTCACCAATTTTCACTTGTGTGGCAAGAACCAAAGAAACTGAATCTCACTTTAAAATGTTTCAGTTGTATCAATATCAAAAGAAACTTCCAAAGTGATTTTCTTCATTTCAATTTATCTCAGAAACATTGCAATATTTTATTTGATGACTGCTTTGTCTGTTTTAGTGCTAATATGTATTATGAAAAGCAAGCAATTAAAATACCAAATCCTCACCAATAACAAGTGTAAACTTGGGCATGGTTTTACTGAAGTTTTCCAAAGAGAAGATGAACCAGTGAAGACAGTAGTAGGAAATGAGGCATATGGCATGATTTTTCATGTGGCTTTAAAGCCTGTCGGGACTCAGTTTGACAGTTTTTGATATAAAGCAAATATTTTTCACTATTTTTGTAACCAACATGCTTTCAGATCCCTACATCCAACCTAAATAACTGCAGGACTTTCCTCTTTTTTTTCTTTTTTTTTTTCCTTTTTTTTTAAGTAGTTTCCCTTTTGGAGCTATGTTTATTGACTTAGATTAGGACTGGACTAAGGCCCAGAGACAGTCATATCTAGTCTTCAGGTTTTTTGTTACAAATCAGTTTTTGTTACAAGGTTCAATAAATATTCTTGATTATTTATGTTACTTCTATTGTGAGTTCTTGCCAAGGATACGTTGTATTATAACCAAAACAGATGTTCTGTTTTAGACAAGTGTATTTGTTTTAGCAGGACCAGAAATGTAAATGAAACAACAGTGTGTTCAGCATTAAGATAGCAGATGATGAACTTTTAGGATTTTGTTGGCCTTTTTGGATTAAATTAAAATCTTGAAAAAATATTTCAGGAATCTCATTCCGTATTTCAGTCACTGTAGCTGTTTTTCTTTGATTGCTGTTGGTTGTAGGCATCTTGGAAATGAAAGCTGTCTGAACAACAGGTGAACTGTGCTAGAACAGGACAGCACAAACAGCTCAATTATCATATTTGGAAAAATGAAATCACAATTTTTCTTTCAGCATTGTTGGCTTCATTGTCAAAATACAAACATTCTTCCTGATCTGACTTTTCTTATGTGCTTCGTACATTAATGCACATTCAGAAGAAATAAAGCATTTCAGCTCATATTTAAAAGAAAGTTTTATAAATATCACATTGTTAGTTATTTTCAACAAGCCGTAAAGACCGCTGCCAGGCAAGTGTATTTTTTTTGGTGACTTGGTGTTTAATTTCTGTTAAACTTAGTTTTAGACTTGATGCAAAATCCTTTTCTACAACTTTCAAGAAAATCTTTTCTTGCTCTGGAGACTTTATAAGCACCGTAATTAATAATTTACTACTGTTTAAGTTCAAACATTTCTGTACTGTGACAAATAGGGGAAACTCTGTAACGTCTTGTAAAGTTCTCATTGGGTTTTCTTTAATGTTTAAATTGTCTGCTTTAGAATACTTAGAAATGTTCTGCTAAGGTAGAATAGGACTGTTTAATACCTTTTGAAGTTGAACCTTGGTGGCAAGAAATTGATTTGGAAATGTTTGTTCTTACGGGATTTTAGGTCCGCTTGTGTTTTATAGGTGTCTGCACATGCTTTAAATATCCT